GTGTCCTTTGGAAGCTTTCTGATCACATGGAAAGCACTTTAAAGAAAGAGACAGGAGCCTTAGCTTTCACTTCTGGCTGTGTCATAAACTCCCCTTGTGACCTGCAGCAAATCACTTGCCTTCTCTCTCTCTTTTTTAACATTTAATCACCTTTACTTATTTATTTTTTGTTTGTTTCTTTTTGTTAATCCTCACCCAAGGATATTTTTCCATTTTTTAGAGAGAGTGGAAGAGAGAGGGAAAGACAGAGAGAAACATCGATGTGAGAGAAACACATTGATTGGTTGTCTCCTGACGAGAGCCCGGGCCAGGGAGGAGCCTGCAACCTAGGTACATGCCCTTGACTGGAATCGAACCTGGGACCCTTTGGTCTGCAGGCCAACGCTCTATCCAGTGAGCCACACCAGCTAGGGCCACTTGCCTTCTCTTGCTGTCAGTTCCCTCATTTGTGAAACCAGGGTTGATCTGTAAAGTTTCTTTTAGCTCTGAGTTTGGGCTTCTCTAGATAGGTAGCCTTTTTCATGTCATTGCTTTTAATGTCCACAGTGAATTATTTTCCCCCTGTAAGGACTGCCTAATTGATGGCTCACCCCCAGTATATAAAGTGAGAAACACAAGAGAAAATAAATGCTTTGGCCAAGCTTCCATGCCTAGCATGTGTGCATGTGTAGGGGTGGGGGGTGTTACTCACTCCTCATCCCAGGCCCCTGGCTTTGACTAGATTTTTCCATTCCAGAGCTGTTTAGCAGCTCTTCCCAAGCATAGGACTGTCAACCCTTAATTATATGCATGCCCACTCTCTCCTCTGTGAATGACACAGGGCAAAGGTATGACATTCCACCTGGGATTCCTCTTGTCCCTCTGAACACTCCCATTCACTGCCATATTCAGTACAGTCTGTTCAAGTATTGTCTCCTGAGAAGGAGATGAAAGACACAAGACACTAGTCCTTGCCCTCATGGAACTTCTAGTCTCCCTGAAGTGGGGACGTAAATGTGTGGGGAAAAATGTGCTACCATATGTAAGGGAGAACCTGGGCTTCAAGTGCTGCTTTGATACATCTCCAATACCTAGAACAGTACCTGACACATAGAAGATGCTCTACAAATACATAAAAATAGGTGCTAACTGCCATGGTTTTCAAACATTTTAGTTTAATGAAGGGAAAGCCTATCTTCAGTGAAGCAGGTGGATATAAGGTTGCCCTGGTAAGAGGAGCTAGGGTCAAACCCTGCTTGCTCAGGTCTCCTCTGGGCACCAGAGATGATCCTCAGCCCAGTCACTTACTGCAGTCAATTAGAAAGGAGTTGAAGATCAACTTGCTGTTTTTCCTGGTTAACCTTAGGAAAATAAATGGAGGTTTGAAGAACCAGGCCCTCCAAAAGGAATTATTTGCCACCTGACAAGGCGTCGTCAATCTCTCCTTTCCCCTCCTTCTAGGGCAGCGGTTCTCAACCTGTGGGTCGCAACCCCTTTGGGGGTTGAACGACCCTTTCACAGGGGTCGCCTAAGACCATCGGAAAACACATATATAATTACATATTGTTTTTGTGATTAATCACTATGCTTTAATAATGTTCAATTTGTAACAATGGAAATACATCCTGCATATCAGATATTTACATTACGATTCATAGCAGAAGCAACATTACAGTTATGAAGTAGCAACAAAAATAATTTTATGGTTGGGGGTCACCACAACATGAGGAACTGTATTAAAGGGTCGCGGCATTAGGAAGGTTGAGAACCACTGTTCTAGGGTGTTCCAATTAGTAAGGGCAGAGGGGAGAAAGTTTTCACTGTGAGACTTGTAAGTTAGTCTACAAATGTATATCAGTGTAATGTTTGTTTATTTTAAATAAAGAAGGAAAGAAAACCACAGTGGTAATGTTTTCCAGTATTCAATAGAAAGTCATTCCATGTTGTCTTCCAAGCAGTCCTGATTTGAAAATACAATGTAAAACTCTCATGAAATCTGTTTAGTTAGTAGATGATGCTTCCTTTTGCACAGCTCACCCTACATCACACTGGTATCTACTAACATTCCTGACCAAATTCATGGTCAGCCTTAGGCACATGCAGATGCTGGAGGGGCTACCTGATGAGAGAATCTCTACACATGTTTGCCTTCTCCTTGCCTTTCCACCCCTCATCAGCAAGGGAGGGAAAACATACTTGTTTTCCAAGGATGCATACTTGTCAAGATGATCCAGGGAGGAAGGTACATCCCAGATATGCATCTGGAAGACAATTTTGGGTAACCAACATCTCTTTTTAAAAATCTGTTAAATGGATAAAGTTCTTGAATTAAGAGATTTTCATTATTATCCATCTCATGGCCCTTTCATAAAAATCTCTTTACCTGTACCACAGACTGTCCCTCCATGCAGATGCCAGAAGAGGCACACATTAGACCAGCTGTGGGCAAACTACGGCCCGCGGGCCGGATCCGGCCAGTTTGAAATGAATAAAACTAAAAAAAAAAAAAAAAAAAAAAAAAAAAAGACCGTACCCTTTTATGTAATGATGTTTACTTTGAATTTATATTAGTTCACACAAACACTCCATCCATGCTTTTGTTCCGGCCCTCCGGTCCAGTTTAAGAACCCATTGTGGCCCTCGAGTAAAAAAGTTTGCCCACCCCTGCATTAGACCGAATGTGTCCCTCCCAAATTCATACGTTTAAAGCTAACCCCTAGTGTGATAATATTTGGAGATGGGACTTTTGGGAAGTGATTAGGTTATGAGGGCTCCCTCACAAATGACATCTGTGTCCTTATAAAAGAGACCTCAGAGAGATCACTTGCCCCTTTCTGCCATGTGAGGTTATATAAAAAAAGAGCCGCTTATGAACCAGGAAACAGGGTCAGACCAGACACTGAATCTGCAAGAGCCGTGATCTTGGACTCCCCAGCCTCTAGAAATAAATTTCTGTATTTCACAATCCATCCAGTCTATGGTATTTTGTTACAGCAGCCTGAATGGACTAAGACACCCCACTCAACAGCAGGGGAAACTGAAGGGTAAAGGGAGCTCACTTTAGACAGCAAGCCACCAGGAGCCCCAGCTTCTCCCCTACTGCCTGACATAGCCATCTCTTCCACTTCTTGGCAAATCCTAAGACTTCCTTACCTTCAAAATCTATCTCAGGCCTGACAGCCATCTATCCAACACTACTGCAGACTTCACCCCCTGTCCAAGCCCTGACCACAACGTGTAGCCTAGTCTTTTGCACTTAAGTAGCTGAGCTTGAATCATTAAATCTGGTCTTAAGATAGAAGCCACTCAAGGCTAGGGCTGGAGGGAACCTTGGAAATTAGGAGAAACGGAGGCTTTCCTAGGGTTCCAAGGTTATGAAAAAAAATATGGCTGCAACCCAAGTTTTCCTATGTGTGCCTATGCCTTCCTGGCTACATCCTGAGTTCCTCTATTTATTTTCTTGGTCTCTTTCCCCTTGGCTGCACAGGGCCTGCTCTCTGTGACCATGGTGTTGACTCAAGGAGGGATTAACGACCTAAACAACAAAGAGCCCAGATAGAGGCTGTGGTCCCCAGCTCTGAAACATGACTTGATCCCAACTAAGACCTTCGCTGGTGTTGGTTCGGAAGCCCAAATGATGGCTCCCAGAAATTAGGTCACTTGCTCAAGGCTACTTGGCTAAGAAGTGACCGCAGCAGGAGCCAAGTGTAGGTCCTCAGGCCCCAGGGGCAGCGCTATGCCCTGGGCACTGCTTCAGGCACTGTCTAGAGCCCGCAGATCTGGAGGCCCAAGGAGCCAGGGGTAAGCCCAGATCCCGCCCCCCTCCTCTGCTCAGCGTGACGTTGGTGGAAGTGTATTATTCCTTTAGGTCTCTAAGCATTGCCCGCATATTTGTGCCTGTGGTTCCTGTCTTAAGTGTGGGGGTTGGAAGGAGTCAGTGTGGGCGGTTTACACTGACCTCCTGTACGTAATCCTAATCCGGGCACCGTTGAGGGTCCCTAGCCACCATAAGCCAACCCTACCGTCTCACGCACAAGCCCCCACTGTGACGCGAGGATGTCTGAACTCAGGGTTCTGGAGTGGTGAAACCCGAGGCAGCTTGGCCGGCCTCTGGAGTACATCAGGATTAGAAGACTTTCTCTGGAGTAATGCTCTCGGGTCCTTCGCCCGCCGTGCTCCCTCGCCCCCCAGAGTGCCCGCTGACCCCCGCAGGCGGAGTCCTCGTGGCCTCGCCCATCCGGCGGGTGGCCCCCCTGCTGTCGAAGTACTTCTCCAGATTCCGGCGTTGGGGGAGGAAGAGATGAAGAGCCTGCGCACGCGAGGCGCCAATCCCCCCGGCTCGAGCTGGTGAGCACATCTTGACGCTTCCCCCACAGCTCAGCTAGAGCCACAGAACTTTTACACCACCCGCGTTCCCTGACGCTTCTAGAACTGGATACCAAACACCCTCAGATACCTGTATTCACTACTTTTGTAGGACTTTCCGGAGAAGGCGGGCAGGGGGCCGGAACCGGGGTGAGGGTCTTCCCCGAGACCCCCTCTAACCCGTTTCTCTTTGCAGACAGCAGTGGTCAACCCTAGAAGGACGAGACTGGGCGTCCCAAAAGACCTAGCGGACTATGCTCCTCGAGGTACCGGCCTTCCCTGGGGGTTAGGGAGTGTGAGGAGAGGGCCGCGGGGGGTTGAGGAGGGTGGGGAGAGGGCCGCTAGCGAACGGATCGGTTTGCTGACAGGTTTGAGGGTGGGATAGCGTAGTTTGGAGTGAAGAGCCCGAGAGCAAACACTGTTTCTTTTTCCTCCCCCCCTCATCCGAAAAGGAACCACATTGCCAGGGGGAAATAAGACAGTGTAAACACAAACAACCTCAAAAAGAAGCCAAGAAAAACTAAGCCAAAAAACCCAAGCGCAACACTGTTACAAAACTGTCTGGTTTTGTAACAATTTCCCTGCCGCCGGCCAATGAGCAGCGTGGCGGCGCGTCACGTGGTGACGTTTTATATAACGCTTTGCTGAGACAAGACAGTTATTAGGCGGCGCGAGGCGGCCGGCATGGAGCTCTCTGAGGAGCGGCAGGGACCGGTGTGCCGCCTCGCGACCGCAGTGGCAGCCCCAATTACCTCAAGCCGCTGCTCCCTGCTCTGGGTCCCCGGCCCCTAGACGCCTCTTCCTGAGTTTGTCCTTCCTTTAATGGATTCATTTCAGGCTGAACAGATGCCGAGCTTGCCCGCTGAGCTCGCGAGCAACAACTTAGAGCTGGCGGAGCCGGCGGCATCAGTGACCCGTGTAGATTCGGGCCACCCGGAGGCGGCTACAGAAGGTCTCGCACCTCTACCGACGCGGGAGCCGGAGCAGCCTCCTCCGGCCTCGACGACGGAGTGTAAAGTCCTGCTCACACAGGCAGACGCCCTGGCGTCCGGGGGGCGCCTCCGGGAAGCCCTCGAGGTATACCGACAGCTGTCGGAGCGGCAGCAGCTGGTGGCAGAGCAACTGCAGCAGCTGGTGCGCTGCCTGGCTGAGAACATCCCGCCAGGAGAGGCACTGGCGCCAGTGCCCACGGTCGGGGGCAGCGCAGCGAGCTGTGTGGTGGGGGCGGAAGAGGCAGGGGTGGCCACCGCCGCCGAGGCCACCGAGTTATGGGATGGCTTCAAGTGCCGGAAGTGTCATGGGTTTCTGTGGGACCCCGTGTCCTTGTCGTGCGGCCACACCTTTTGTAAAGTGTGCCTGGAACGCGGGCGGGCAGCCGACAGGCGCTGTGCGTTGTGCGGGGTCAAGCTCTCCACGTTGATGGCGGCCACCGGGCGGGCGCGCGGAGCCCGGCGGGCTGGGCAGCAGGCGCCGCCGCCGCCGCCGCTGCGGGTCAATGTGGTGCTCAGCGGTCTCCTCGGCAAGTTGTTCCCTGCTCGAGCTCGGGCGTCGCAACTCCGGCACGAGGGCAACCGGCTGTACCGCGAGCGCCAGGTGGAGGCGGCACTACTCAAGTACAACGAAGCGGTTAAACTAGGTGAGCCCACGGGGATCTCCTGACGGGGAGCCCGCCGGGAGGTGGGGGATTGACCGGGACCGGAGTGGGGGAGGGGTTTCCGGAGTTCACTCTTGGACTTTTCCTCTGCCCCTGCCAATTTCTCTTTCTTTCTCTGTGTCTCTGCCTCTCCGTGTTGCTCTTTGTCTTTTTCTGTGTCTCCTGTTAGCTTGTGTTTCTGGCATCTCCGTTTCTGTTTGTGGCACACTCTCTGTCTCTCCTTTTGTCTGACTTTCGCACCTTTGTCACTCCGTTTGTTCCTCAGTGTCATCGACTCAGTTTCTCTTTCTCTCCGTCTCCCTCTGTCTCCGCACGCCTGGGCTCCCGCTTACACCTGCCTGCACCTTCCCCGCCAGGAGGGGAACTTCGCACCCTTCCCACCCTCACACAGGCTCTGCTGGGTCTCCGCCAGCCCCAGGTGCTCTCTAGGCACCTGTGTCTGCTGTCCCGCCAGCCCGGGCCGCCCTTGAGGCCGGGAGGTGTCCCTTCCGGGGCCGCGGCTCCGGGTGGGCTGGGTCCGGCGTGGAATTAGGTCAGGAGAGCACTGGTTGCATAAGGGCCGCGAGCAGCCCGGGCCGGGCGGCCCCTCCTTCGCGCGGGCGGGCGGGATTGTGTAACGGCTGAGGTAACCAAAGTGGGCCACGCTCGCCTCGGAAACCGTCCCGCGAGCATGGGGGGGTTGGGGGGGGGGAAGAAGAGCGCTCGTGCCCCGCTGCCCTGTGACTCATTGTCACCGCTTCCTATCACAGGATCCGCGTCTGAAATAGATGCCCCCCCCCCCCCTTTCCAGCCTGCCGCCTGCGTCCTGGCCTGGAAACTGCTCAGGGATTCCGGGGGCTGTGGGCTAGCTGAGAAGGGGACACGCCTCTGTTCCGCTCTCTCTTGCTGCCTGGAGACGGATGGGTGGGCTTTGTGGGTTCAAGGACAAGGTGGGCAGCCCCATGCCTGTGGCCCTACTAGGGCTCCGGAGTTCCCGCAGGGAGAGTCTTCCCCAACCCTCTTCTCCCCTCACCTGAACCCAGGAACTGGCCTCTGAGCCACTGGCTGCTGTTGCCCAGTTGGGGCACGCTGCCAGGAGCTCTGCTGATGGGGCACGGAGTCTGGCGAAGCGTGAGGGGAGGAAAGAGGCAGCAGGGCTGGGCAGACCGGACTCTGGGACTCGATGGGTGGAGGAGGGGCTGGGCTGGAGTCTCCCTGTGTGGAGCCTAAACCAGAACTGGCAACAGGTATTGGGAATAGGGGAGGAACTAGGGTGGATTGGGAAAGACTGGCACCTGAGGGAGATGGGGACTCCCTCCACACACACACCCTGTGCTCACACAAACACCGAGCTGCCACTGGGCTGGCATGTGCTGCAGAAAAGAAAGAACAGAGAAGATTTCTTTAAACTGTTTGCTAATGTCTTAAGAGCAAGTAATGGGCACCCACACAAACCCTTAGCACATCCCTGAGGGAAAAACCAACAAAGCCTGTTCCCTGGGGAAGAGCAGGGCAATATGAAGGCAACAGGTGCAGGCCACTTCAGCCCAGATCTCCAAGGAAGGTTCCGTTCCTTCCGTGCATGCCAGGAGGGCCAGTTTCCCCCGAAGTTTTTCCTTACGCGGTCAGAGCAGTCAGGGTGAAAATGTCAAGACCACTTCACCCTTCTAGGAGGAAAGGGGCCTCTCCAACAAAGAATATCTTTGTACCAAAAGATGGCCACGCTCTCTTCCTCATTGTTCTAAATACTGTACCGCCCTTCAGAAAAAAAGAAACCTGCCCCTCACTCCAGATGCAAGGTTTCGACAGTTAACAAGCCTGACTAGCTAGCTGTGTGACTTTCAGAAGATCCCTTCACCTCTCTGGGCTTGATTTTCCTCATCTGAAGAATGGGTTGGTTGAACCAGATGATTTCTAAAGGCCTGCCCAGCCCTGACATCTAGTGATTCAGAGTGTTGGTGACAACCAATCTCAATTTATTCTCAGAAGCCTTGTCCAGGTTCATTCACATTTGGCCATCTATAATGTGAGGAAGGAGCCTTGCAAATACATTTCCATTTTCTTAGAGAAACTTCATATGTTCTGAGTTTCTAGACAGATGTTGCTGTTGCTGTTGCTACCAGAAGACTAACTTGAGCTTGTCTTCCTGGTGGCCGCGATGGAGGTCACATATGGCCAGCTCCCACTCCCCACTTCCTGGCCTCTTTCCTTGTGGGTGATACCTCAGTCAGAAGCTAGGCTGTCAGTTGCTAGCCCCATATAGCTACGAAGCAGGGTGCCAGAGTTTTCTCCATGTCAAAGTCACTGAAACACCCCTGACACCACAGGTCCTCTAAGGATCTGCTTAAGAGAGGGGCAAAAATCCCTTCTTTACAGCTGGCATATCTCAGACCCACAGTGGCTGCAGGGGAGTGTCGTTGGCAGGACAACATTATGGCTAGAAATTGAGCGTGACCCTTTGGGTCCCCAGGGGAAAAGTCTTAGAAAACTTTCCATCTGCTCAAGATCCATCCTCATACAGGATTTACTTGTTTCTGCTGGGGGCCATTAATGAGGGTTTGCTTTTTTTCTCATTTTGGCAGCACCAAATGACCATTTACTTTATAGCAACCGGTCACAAATTTATTTCACCTTGGAGTCTCATGAGGATGCACTGCATGATGCAGAAATAGCATGTAAGCTCCGCCCAATGGGCTTTAAGGTGAGTGTCGGATGGGAAGCATGGGAAGGGGGTATGCTATAGAAGGAATTGGCCAGAAGGGCTGCCGCCCTTGGGGGTATGGGGCACTAGAGCTCAAGCAGACCTGGGAGAAGGCTTTGCAAAGGAGCGGGTCCTTTGACAAAGGGTTACTTAGGGGTCTTTAAGGGACTGGATTCTTCCCCAATTTGATCCTCCATTGATGACCTGCATAGCAGCCTGGGCTCTGTGACTCCAGAACATAGACTTGAGAGCCTGATTACCTGAGTTTATGTCCCAGCTCTTCTACTTTTATCATCTGTGTGACTTTGGACAAATTTACTTAGCCTCCCTGTGCTTTATATTCTTATCTATAAAATGGGGATATTCAAAGTTCCTACTTAACAGGGTTTGTCGTAGGAATTACATAAGGTAAGACATGTAAGATGCTTAGAACAATGCCTGGCACATAGCATAAGTGTTTGCTATCATTATCACCATTATTTTTCAGGCACAACAGAAAGAGGAGGGTAAGACAAGCATTGCTGGCTGGTTGTGCCATTCCGAGTCTTGAATATAGTCAGTCAGCCTGCCAGTATCCACAAACATCTAGGTCACATGGAGGGGTGGGGAGAAAGACAGGCTAGGCATCTCAGGATGCCAGGATGCAAAGTGTCACTTTTTTGCATCTCTGGCCTCAGGACTGGCCCTTAGCCACATGTCAATATATTTGGTTTAGAAGATTAGATTTGAGCCTGGGCTTCACTACTTGCCAGCACAGTGACCATGGAGAAATTGCTTCACTCTCTGGACCCCAAGTGTCCTTGTTTGCAAAGTGAAACTATTGCTATCTGTCCTGATCACCTCACAGGGATGCAGTGAGGGTCACAGGTGATCATGGCCTAAGGGAACTATAATACTTGCTAGGTCTTTATGTAGTACTCGCTCTACACAACCCCAGGATGCCTTCTAGACACCCAACTTACCCAAGTCCAGGTCCATGATCCCTTTATGAATTTCATGGGGTGAGATGTGTTCAGAATCCAGAAGGTTTCCAATCCAGAAAGACCTTATATGAAGTAATACCCTTACTGAGTTTTGGACAGTGCCCCATAATAAGACATTAATATTTCTGCAGTGCGTTACATGAAAATTCACACTAAGTAGGATAAAGAATATAATACACTTTATATCATTTTAGGTCAGGTTGTGCCACCTCATGACCTCTGATGTCAGGCTTATGAAAATATCGGATTATCAGAATTTTTTTTTTAAATCTGGGTCTTCAGATAAAGCATTGTGGACCTGCACACTGAGCCATTGATGTCAAAGTGAATCTCATGTGTTCTTTCATGAGAAGGTGTTCATGGGTGATGATGGATTAGTATGTTCGCTTTCCCAAGGAACACATTTACAGTTTACTAAAGGTCACCAGTGTCTTAACCCAAAGGAGCTCCAATGAGAGCATTTCAGTCCTTGTAGCAGTGCAGGGCAGGGAGCTGCCTGAGGGTAGGAGGACTTCTCTTGCAACTTTTTCTGCTCCCATCCTTAACCTAAGGCCTAAGAGTGGGGCCTTGATAGTGCAATGGGAAACGGGGCTGAGTAAGCAGTATACCCTTTTGGATGAAATGGGAAACGTGACTTCCCCAGTAAAGGAAGAGTTGATGGGAGTATTAAACAGGAATTTCAGTTCCCCACAGGTAAGTGGAGAGGCTTACCTCTCTGTCCCCTGGTTAGCTCTCTGAAGGGCAGTCTGCCTTGTGGGGAAGAACGTTCTGGGGATCCTAGACCACAGTTGTAGTTCCAGCTTTGCCATCGAGGTCTTAGAGAGGTCACAACCCTTCCCTTGGGTCTCTCTTGAAGAATGACCAGTAAGTGTAGGTGGTCACTCAAGCCAGTAATGTGGACTAGGCCTCTGCTCGACTGACTAGTTTGTAGGAAGGCATATCTGGACGGGTCCTGGTTAGTATGTATTCAAATGGGCATTTTTGCTACTTGGTGATCCCTCTAATACAATGGTGGGGCAGCAGGAGGTAGTACTGCCCAGTGGTTAAGAATTTGGACTTTGGTATCAGTCAGTCCCAGGCTGAAACCCTGACTGCAAAATTTATCAGCTGTGTTACTTTGGGCAAGTCACTTTTCTGGGTCTTTTGTTTTCTTTAACATGGGCTTCAGAGCAGTTGCCTGCATGATAGGACTGTGCATAAGATAATCCTTAGAAATGCTTCAGGCAGTAGTGGATGCCCATGAAGTTAGGAAGTATTAAGAATAGTGTCAGGAGGGTGAATAAGAGTGGGATTGAATGCTAACGTTTTCTTCCAGGCACACTTCAGAAAGGCGCAAGCCTTGGCCACCCTAGGCAAGGTGGAGGAAGCACTAAGAGAGTTTCTATACTGCGTTTCACTGGATGGAAAGAGCAGGAGAGCAAGATCTGAAGCCCAAAGGGTGAGTTGAGATGACATCAGGTTCAGCTGCCCAATGGGCTCCCACCTCACTGTCTTCTCCAGGGAGGCGAGTGAGGGAACTGTCTTCCAGGGCATTTGGGGTCTTGAGTGGGTGGCTCCCTGGGTTAAGGGGACAAGCAGGAGACACAGGTTCTAATTGATTGCCCCCAAATCACCGTCCTCTTGGTGTGTACAATCAGATTGAGCAGTTGCTACATTTCTGTAGGAGCCTATGAAGAATGTTCTTGCTTTTTTCACTCAGGGTCTGGGTTGTCAATGGGGAAAAAACCAAAAGACAAAAATAAATACAAACAAGTTAACATGGGGATGGAGACTCACTGAGGAGATTCTGGCTGTTGACAAGAGGTCAGGGGTGTGGGGCTGCCTGCAGCTGTAGAACTTTACTTTGACCAAGTCACAGCTTCACCAGCCACACCAGGAAGCCAGCTCCTCATAAAGGATGCTGGCCCCCGTCTCATTTGCCATACGTACAACTCCAACCTTCAACTCCTTTGCTAGAAATAAAACACATATACTGTCTCACAAGTGTAAGTCAGAGACCATTACAATATAATCCAAACAAGCATTCTGACTCTTGAGTCCCAGGAGAATGTGGTTATTTTTAAAAACTGCATGAAGTACTGAGAGTATTAGCGAAGGCTTAAGCATCCTCATTCCCCGGACTTTGTTGCTTACTCTTCTGCAATGTGCTCTCAGAGTGTCTGGCTAATGGGCCTGAAGTTGGATACTGACATTCAGTGGTGGTCTCTGCTCTTGCCTTGTGCCCAGACCCCAATTCACCACCGCAATCCAAGTACTTCTGTTCCATTGTGGTTTAGCAGAGCAGTGACGAAGAAAGGGAGCAAGAGACAGGACTGGTTGCTGAAGGCTCCAGAAATGAATGGTTAGAAAAATCAATGAACTAGGGGAAGCGGAGCTCTGGAGGTTCTGCCTCTGACAGATTTCTTTTCCGGGGAGTTGCTTTGCTGTGGTTTGGGAAGTGGACAAAGTGTTCTTGAGAGAAGCACTGGTGGATCGATCCTCCAAATCTTAAGTGTAGTCCATGGTGTGGATAATAATAACAACAACAATAATAGCAGCTAACGTTTATTGAGCACTTGCTATGCACACCAGACACTGCACTAGGGCTCTCTGTGGAAGATATAATTTAATCCCCACAACATGCTGAGGTTTGGTGACTTTCGTGAGGTCGCACAATTAGTGATTTGTGGAAGAACATTCGAAGCCAACTCTACCTGTTTCCAGAGTCTGCCTTCTAGCCACTTCACCATCCTGCTGTCCTGAAGGGACATGCTAGGAGTCTCAGCACTCATTGCTGGGGCTGGGTGGAGAGTAGAAATGGGACCAACCAGTTCTGCAATGGATGAACAAAGATGGTTAGAAGAACCTTGACTTTGGGGACAGATTGTGTGAAGGCCAACAGAGGCAAGTGTCAGGTCTAAGGATGAGTGGTTTCTTAAAGAGGTTTTTTTTAAGTATTGATTAATTTTATATATATATATGTGTATACACACACACACACACACACACACACATTTGTTTTTCTACTTCTTTATGAATTTGTTGGTTAATCTTGTATGTGCCCTGACCTGCAACTTTGGCATGAAACCTGCAACTTTGGCATATTGGGACGATTCTCTAACCAACTGATCTACCAGACCAGGGCCATGAGTGATTTCTTTACTCCCACTTACCCATTTCACAGGTGGCCTGAAAGGGTCTGGTATCATCAGTTATGTTGACATCTCTTTCCAGCTGCTTTTAGAGGGGCTGCCTAACTTAATAGGGTAAGACATTGTGTTAAGATCTGGAGACTCAAAGAGGCATAAGACACAGTGTCAGTCCTCAATGCCCTTACAACCCTGCATGTGTTACCCAGCGCGATATAAATGCCAGACAATAGGAGCCTATGTCTGTAATGAGTGTTCTGGAGTTCTGAAGCTGGGGCAAGAATGTAGGGGCAAATTTCCACTGAGTGTGACAAGGGCATGGCAGCCATTTAAGAACACTGAGGGCCCTCAGGAGTGCTTATTTACCAGATTGTTCCATTTTCAGATGTGACAAAGATGGTCCAGGTTCACTTGACATTTCTTACCTTATACACTCACAAACCTCAGATTCTTCTCCCCATCGTTCTTGACCCATTTAAGCCTTTTGAAGGCTGATACTGAAGTGGGTTTGTCTTTCATTTATGTGGAATGATTATTCCCACTGAAAGTTGACCCCACCGTTTGTTTTCTAAAGCCATTGGGAATGCCTAGAACGAGATCTTAGGTGGTAAAGGGGAAGATATGAAGAGCTGCTGCTGTTTCTGCCTTGTTTCCTTCCGTTTCTCCTTTCTGCCTCCGCTCCCTCGCACCACACTCTTCCCTTTTACCCTCACATCTTAGGATGCTGTGTGGTGGCCACTGAAGAACATCATGCTGTTTTGGGGAGAATGTGAGGGAGATTGCTTCAGAAATGGGTTGGTCCTGCTGGGTCACTCAGGAGGGCTTCTGAGAGCCAGCTTTGGCTTCTGTGGAGGAGAGGGCTCTGAAAACTGGCATTTATGACCCTGGGCACTGTGCCTTTCCACCTCATTCTTTTCACAACTTAGATCTGGGAAGTGGGTTCCCCAGAAATAGAAGGAAAACAGGGATGTCTGAGGACATTGGGCCTGAACCCAAGGCCTCTCCCTGGGCCCTGGGATGGATAAGTGTGCTAATTCAATTCCATCTAGTGTGACAAGTATCTGTTGGGCATTTGTTCTGTGCTCTCCAGAAGCTGGTTGTCTGGTTAGAGAGAAAGACTTAGTCTACGGTATGATTTGAGGCTAACACAAGACTGTGTCATGTAAGGTGCTCTATTATGGTGCAGTGAAGAACATGAAAGTATAGGTGACATCAGGGAGGCTGGAGTAGTAGGGGAACGCAGCCCTGGAGCTGAGCCTTGAAGGCCAAGAAGAGTTGGTTATCTGAAGAAACATCATGAAGGAACTGAGGGGTGGGAGAGGGACAGCAAGGGAGCAAATCAAGCTGGAGAATTTGGTCAGAGTTCCTGTTAGGCTCTCTTGATTAATTAATACCCTGACTATGTACCCTGACTGAGCAAGCAGGTGGAGCATCCAGTGGGTTTCCAAACATTGTAGGGGGATCTGGGTGGGAACACTTGAATGTGTTTTAGAAGCCAGGTGACCTGTCCTGTGTTACATGTTACATACAATATACACACGTATATTCACAATCCCTGCTGGCACATTGAGGCAAGACTGTGGGCAGCCAATGATGCAGCCTGCACTAGAACACCCATTGTTGACTCCAGTCCCTTCTGGATCTTCTCACACAATGGGCTTATGCAGTCGCAAAGGAACTAGCCATACACTGAAACCAGTCTGCCGCATTACTAGTACTTGCAATTCCTTGACTTTCTCGGGAAAGTAAAGGTCAGAATGGGGGAGAAGAGGCTGGGAAAAGAGGGAGGAAGGTTGGCTTCTGCTTTTTCTAACACTTCAGTGCAGAAGGGATAAAGGCCCAGGGATGATGGCTGGGGAAAGAGGGAGCAAAATGGGCAGGCAGAGGAAAGAAATATCAGAACCTAGAAGACAATTGCAGACTTCAACCCACTGGGGTATTATGGACATGGCTCCAGGTCCCTCAGCTGATGTTTTGTCTCCTGCCTTCACCTTTTTGGCTCTTTCCTCCTACCTAGGTTTTTTAACCCTACTGAAGATATTTCTATGGAAAGATAGCACTGCAGTGATAGCTCTTTAAGTTTGACTAGGGTGACAGAGGCATCTGGGATGCCTTTTCAAAATGCGAATTCCTGGACCACACTTCAGATCTGGGGAGCCAGGCATGAGAACTTGGAACCTAGACTTTTAATAAGCTCCTGGATGATCTGTTGAAGTGAGGCCCCCTGCCTTGGTCTGCCCTGGTCTGTCTGGTCCAAGGCTTCTTCCCTAGAGTTTTGCCCTGCAACCTTTTCCTTCTACCCTTTTCTCCCCCTCTCCCTTCACCTGAGTGCCTGTAGAAACTTAAGTAGTGAAGTCTTCTGTTTTATGTCACAGCTTCTCCTTAGTTTCTTTTCACCATCAGTCCCGGGGCAGTCTCAGGAACATTCTCCCGATATCCTGAAGCTGTTGGCACCTCAGCTTAGATTAAAGGAACAAGTAGAGTCATTGGCTACTGAAGGCGACAGCCATAATCTACCAAAGTTGTCACAGGTAAAACTCACCCAGCTCGTTTGTGACGCTTCGTTTGGCTGTTTTGTGGGCAAACCTGGGGAGTGAGCCCTACCCCTCTTACTTCAGTTCCTGAGAAATAAGAAATGGACTGGTTATGTTCTTTGCTGGAAGGTTATTTCTTCTTTTTTTAAAAAAGTATTTTATTGATTTCAGAGAGGAAGGGAGGGAGAGAGAATTATTTATCGGCTGCCTCCTGCATGCCCTACACTGGGGATTGAGTCTGAAACCCGGGCATGTGCCCTGATCGGGAATCAAACTGTGACCTTCTGGCTCACAGGTTGATGCTCAACTACTGAGCCACACCGGTTGGGCAGAAGGTTATTTCTTAATGATAAAAAACTGGATTTCAGACATGGTCCCAGGGTTTATGATTTGTTACATTCATTTTTCAGTTCTTGGTCAAATCCAGATGAGAGAGATTTGACAGAACTAGAAAGGAATTGGTCAACTTCCACTGGAGCCATTCAATGAGGTGGCTTTATCAGCCTAGGGGTGGAGCCTGGGCTGATAAAGATCCTCCTTTCGTGCCCTGGCCGGTTTGGCTCAGTGGATGGAGTGTTGGCCTGCGGACTGAAGGGTCCTAGGTTTGATTCCAGTCGGGGGCATGTGCCTGGGTTGTGGGCACATCCCTAGCAGGAAGTGTGCAGGAGGCAGCTGATCGATGTTTCTCTCTCATTGATGTTTCTGACTCTCTATCCCTCTCCCTCTCTGTAAAAAATCAATAAAATATATATTTTTTTAAAAAAAAATCCTCCTTTCCTGCTTTTTGTTTGTTCAAGCTGCTGGGCTTTGAGCGCCAGCTGAGTTCCTTGTGTAAAGACAACTCTATTTGATCCCCAAGTGGAGGTAATTTCCTGCACCATGTCTTACACATAAGTAGATTTCCGGTACTTATTGGAGGCTGGAAGTGATTTGGGAAGGGTTAAGGTCCTTGGAGGAAGGTATACGTGCCTTTCTTTGAAAACAAGGGAACAGAACCACGGAGAGATGGGTTCCAGACCCTGGCTTTCCCATTCGCGGGCAAGTGGGCAGCAGCTGGGGTTCAGAAGTCCAGTTCTGAAGGCAGAGTTTAATGCTGACTGCCTCGGCCCCGTGGGGCCGCAGTCCCCATTGCATTTGTGCCCTGTGTTCTTCCCTGTATGTAAGCCCTGGGATTTCTGTGTTTTCTTAAAGATTCTCTGGCAGGTGGAAATCTTACATTTCCCCACTTCTCTCCCTGCTCAGGAAAAGGAATAAAATTCGGGTGTGTCCAAGTAAAAAAAGGGGGGAGGTGGAGGAAGAACTGAAAGAGCATCTCCTGAAATCAGAGAACCCCTAGTACATTTCAATAATTGTTTGAGGTCATGATTACATGATTGAGAACACTAACACTGAACTTAAGTGCCTGGAGTGGCTTTTAATTGCTCCTCATTCCAAAATGAAGAAAAAAGGGCACCCCTGGTTTCCAGTGAGAGCTGACTGTGGAACAAGGGTGGGGTTTCCACCCAGACTTTGCTTTGCAAATCAGTGTACTCCTGTGTAGCCAAAGCCTGGGGCTCGTGGAAAGTTGAGGACACAGAATTAAATAACCCTGAACTCCCCAGGTTGGATACTGAGAAAACCCACATCCTTTTTCTCTTCACCTCATTGTTTTCTCCTAGCTGTATGGCTCTCATTTTTTATCTGTCTACCAATGTTTTTGGTAGGGGTTGGAGGGGAAACAAGAACATGGGCATTTTGACCTGTAGACTGTGGGTTTACAATAGAGAGGGATTCTCCAGGTATTGTTGGACTTATTTCTAGGCCCATTTTTGAGTATTCCTCTCCTGGACAAACACTTTCTTTCCTTCCTTCCTTCCTTCCTTCCTTCCTTCCTTCCTTCCTTCCTTCCTTCCTTCCTTCCTTCCTTCCTTCCTTTCTCTCTCTCTCTCTCTCTCTCTCTCTCTCTCTCTCTCTCTCTCTCTCTCTCTTCTTTCTTTCTTTCTTTCTTTCTTTCTTTCTTTCTTTCTTTCTTTCTTTCTTTCTTTCTTTCTTTCTTTCTTTCTTCCTTTCTCTCTTTCTTTCAAAGACTAGAGACATTAGTGATCATTTTGCCAAATGATTTTGCCTCTTTTTCAACATTCCCCACAAAGTCTAATGAAGGGAATAGTTGGACCCTAGTTCATTTGAGCAGCATAACCTACAGCTGGACCATGAGGTAACTGCAGGTCTGTGATACACCTATGCCAGAGCCTTCCCAAAAGTCCTTCTGGAGCTGGGCTGTAGGGTGAGAGGAAGCACTGAGTGACAGGATCTACCCTCTCTGCATGCCTTGGTTTCCCTAATGTAGTAACTGGGGAATGGTCTGGATAGGAGAGGGGACTGGTGCTACATCTTACATTTCTCCCCTTCACCACTGTCTAAGGAATCTCTCCCCTACATGCCTTTCTGTCCTTGCTTAGGGAAGTCCCCCAACTCTGCCCAAGCTGGGCATGCCTTTGTCACTGATGCTGTGTGGACAGAAGTGACTTCCCCTCCTCCATGAAGCCATGTGTCCACTCAGGACTGTGCAGTTCTTTCTCTGTCTCCTGTGGTGGGAATATCAGAGGACAGTATTGATCCCTAGTAGATTCTGACTTTTGGCTCTTTATTCCGCCAGGAAAACGAGGAACTCCCCCATTGTTCTAGACAGGAGGAAGGAGCAGCCAGTGGGGACTGCAACATCCAGATGAATCCTGTGGAAGTAAAGGGGCATGGGCAGCAAGGCACCATGAAAGACCAGGAAGAAGAGGAGAAGGATTATCCTGCCTCTCCAGAAGCTGCCTCCAGCCAGACTGGCAAAAGCCAGGAAAAGAAAAGGAAACATTTTCAAGTTGAATCCAAAGACCCAGACGTTCCTACTAAAGTCTGTAAGCCAGGTACTGACTCTACCCAGGGCTAAAGGGGCTTGGAGGAGATGATGGGCTCCCCAGTATAAGCAGGTTACTTGCTGTCCATGTGAGGGTTCTTTAGGCTCTGGGTGTATGACCCAGCTCTGGAACTTGGCTGTGGCACCTCAGAATTGCTGTGAAGTTTCTGTGAGAGCATGCATAGTTCCTAGCGTACTGCCAGTGCTCAAGAATAATTGTAATGGAAAGCCAAGGCATAAGGTCAAGCACAGTCTCAAGTAATGATATCCAATGCCCTTGATGGTGTCACTTTCTGCCAGGCCAACCTCTCCCTACCCCCATCCCTATTCCAGGAACAGAGGACCAGAGCTGTGCAATCAGGCCACACTCTGCTCATTCTCAGTTGTGTTTCTGTAGTCAGGCATCTGAGAAGCAGCAGCTGCAGCTCAATAGCTTTCCAAGAGAGGTGGGCAATGCCAAGAGTCACTATCAGCTTTGAAGGCCTGGCTCAGTCCATGGAGTTGCCGCTGCTGCTCCTGCTGCATGAGGTGCCTGTTGCATTTGAATGAAGTCCACTGGGCTTCTGGATATTCCCTGACTTGTGCTTCTCTTTCTGTGGGACCCCTGGACATCTCAAGAGTCTACTTCAGGGTATCCCATTCTCAGTGGGTCAGGTGACTAATAAATCAACCCTTCCAGAAGGGGTGAGAGTGGCAGACTGAAAAAGTAATTGGGTTTTTTGCCTCACAAGTTCTGTCTGTGAAACCAAGGTTGGTCCAACTCTGACTTGTGTTTTCTAAATCACAGAATCTCCTCCTGATTTGGGGGATTTGCCTGCTGTCAGTATTCCACTCCCATCTTTTGACGCAACCGACCTTGAATGTGCCCTATGTATGAGGTATGTGATGTGTGTTGTCACTTACTGCCTGAAGGGTCTTCCTCTCTGGTGTGTGAATCTTTCTGCTAGTGACCTACTGCTTCATTGGTCAGCACATAAAAACATGGTTCTAGCGAAATGAAAATTACCTTGACACAGCCTGTCACACGGGCTAGCTGGTGTCTCCTGTTACAGGTTGCATTCCTTATATTCCTGACTTGGAAATACTTACACAGTGGGAAGGAAACTCAGAGATCCACTCAGAGGTCACAAACTGGTGTCCCACAGGCTGAATGTCTTATGTTTGGTCCTCATGGGATTTTTGTTGTTAAATTTGAATGTCTTGAGACAAGACACACACTTTCCAGTTGGTCATGGTAACCTCCCCTACTCACTGTCTTCTGTCTTACATTAGCCTGCATCTCACATTTGCATCACTTCCCTGGCCTTTGTAGGTATCTAAGTTTGCGACCCTAGGACTAATGTCAACTACTGGATCAATATCTCAAAACTCAAGGGCCAATGTCAGTGCCATAGGTCTAGTCTATGGAAGCAAAGTAGAGGACCTGCCTAGTGTTTGTTTTGTGCCATGAAGAGGATTAGTAGTGGATCTGTACTACTTAGACAAGCATTTTTCCTTTACCCAGTGCCTTATTATCCCTACTTTCTCAGATCTCTGGAGAGGCAAATCATCCACATGCTTCCTCCCAAACCCCACACAAAAAGGGAACTTGCTACAATCATAGTCGGTGTGGGGAAAAAAGTACTTTATTTTATTTATTTATTTATTTATTTATTTATTTATTTATTTATTTTTAAATCCTCACCCCAGGATATTTTTCCATTGATTTTTAGAGAGAGTGGAAGAGAGAGGGAAACTCAGAGAGAAATGTCATTGTGAGAGAGACACATTGATTGGTTGCCTCCTACATGAGCCCTGACCAGGGCCTGAGCTGGGGAGGAGCCTGCAACTGAGGTATGTGTCCTTGACTAGAATTGAACCTGGGACCCTTCAGTCCGCAGGCCAATAGTTTATCCACTGAGCAAAACCAGCCAGGAGAAAAAATTGCTTTCATTTGTTTCATTTCACAGCTGTGACTTTGTAGCTTGGAGAAACTCCAAAGCCAGATGGTCTGGATTTGAACCCTGACTCTGCCACTTGCTGGCTGTTTGACCTGGAGCAAGTGACTTTCTTTGACACTGTTTTATCATCAGTAAAATGGAGAACAGTAGTCTTTACCCTATGGGGAGGGGGTATAATTAATTGAGAAAATCTACTTAAAACACTTAGAATAGTGCCTGATATATAAGTACCTAATAAATGTTAATTATTTTTTCTCCTAGACCAGTGATCGCGAACCTTTTGAGCTCGGCGTGTCAGCATTTTGAAAAACCCTAACTTAACTCTGGTGCCGTGTCACATATAGAAATTTTTTGATATTTGCAACCATAGTATAAAAAAAGATTTATATTTTTGATATTTATTTTATATATTTAAATGCCATTTAACAAAGAAAAATCAACCAAAAAAATGAGTTCGCGTGTCACCTCTGACACACGTGTCATAGGTTCGCCATCACTGTCCTAGACCATGAGGAGGTTCTTTTTTTTTTTTTTTTTAAAGTCCCACCAGTTTAATTACAATAAAAACCCAAAAAATGGAAAACAAGGGGTAGGGAAGAGGACCCTAAGCAAGGGGCACAGGGAACCCTGCTCATGGCAGCAGGCCTGGCTGCTGGGCCCCTTGGTATTGCTGTTGCTACAAGGGAGGTCAGGGGGCAGCGATTGTCTTGTGGGAGCCACCATTCACCTGGGTTGAGGACCCTTACTTCTTCTGGTATGTGCTCAGCTTTTGCATGCCTCCAGTCTTGTCCAGCAGGCCAGAGATGAAGGCCTCAGTGGGTTTGTAACAGTCAAAGAGCAGCTCCTTGACCCTGGAAGCCTGGGTGTCATCACTCTCCATGTCCAGGAGTTCATCCACATCAATCTCCAGCCCCAGGATATCTTCCTGGCAGTTCTAGAGGCGAGTGAGCTGTTCCAGGATCCAGTCCTCCAGGTTGAGGCACTTCCATAACTCCTTGCAGTTGTACTTGATTGCGACCTTCCCTTGGCGCTTCACTGGGCCATCATCCTTTAGCTGCCAGGGTCCCTCACCTGCAGTACCAGGGGCACCCTGAAAGTAGATGCGAGGACCCTGGGCCACCACCTCCCAGACCAGGAGCTGGGGCATCAATGCTGCACCCTCCTTGGGGCCACTGTTTGCCCTGGTGGCTGCCTCGGCCATTGTGCATGTCAGGCTTCCCCCTTCCCCCCCCCACCTCCTCTGGGTTGCCTGATGGGTGGCTGAGGGCTCTTGGCTTGGGTCAGCTCGGGGAGGGAAGTTGTATCCAGAGTCAGCTGCAGCATGTGGAGCCCCAGGGCCTGGCTTGTCCATGTATACATTCTAGTAGATCTATGAATTCCCTAGCATTGTATGTAGAAGTGTGTGTGTGTGTGTGTGTGTGTGTGTGTGTGTGTGTGTGTGTGTGTGTTTGTTTCCAGGACAAGGTCCACAGCTTTCAGTAGATTCTCAAATGTGTCTTTCTTCCAAAAGATCATTAAAAGGAGGCTAAGATATTTGCACAAAAGTTGTTTAGATGGCTGAGCCAAGAGAAGATATGTTAAGACAAATATTTTGGTCCATCACACAGTGGGATCCAGCCAGCAGAGTATTCTCAAAGGTTGTTTTGTCCTTTACAAGCACATACACTTTCCATGTCAATCCCATGCATTTGTATTCAGAATGACTTTTCTTGTCACCTGAATAAAAATGACTAAGGCAGCCATTACCTTTCTTTCTCTTAAAAAAAAAAATAGAGTTGGCAGATTTGCTCATAAGCTCAGGCAGACCTGATGACGAACAGTTCAATAGATGGAACATGAAACACCCGAGGAAAGCCTTCCATACAGTCAGGAGTGTGTTTGCTTTTACCATCTCGATCTCCTCAACAAGGTGGCAGGCGGGCCATGCCAGAGCCAAAGGGATAGAGAAACTCTGCTTTTCTGCAGAGAAATGGGCCTCCACAGGTAATACCATGGCGGCTGTAAACCTGTGATGTGAGTTGTGGACTTTCACATGTCTAACTTTGAGAGATTTGATTCAGTTTGCTCAGAAAGCCCCGCTCCTTCGTGTACTTATCACTTCTCCTGACATCCAGGGGATGCAAAATCAAACACACAGACTCATCCTGTTTGTGTTTTCCCTGAGGTTGAAGTTCTTTTGTTCCCTTTCCTCTGCTTTCTCCCTTTCATCTTGTTTGTCCCTGACCTCGACAGGGGGCTTCAGAGAAGGGTTAGAAATCTGGTCCAAGAAATAAACACCAAGAGGATAAGACCCCTTTTAGTTTGCTTGCTCCGACTTTAAAAGCCATTATTTCCCTTATCCTGACACTCTAAGTAAGACTTTAAAACAAAAAGCCATCTTTGCCTGGAGTAGCTATTGTATAGGCCAGGAAGTTATAGGGAGCCTCTCACTGCTTTATGGCAAAAGGAAAGCTGCCAAGTCCAGAGAGCACTTCTGATCTCAAGGCTCATAAAACGGTAGCCCTTGGTAAGAAGCATGTAGTTCCTCTTCCAACAGGGTTTGTCTCAAAGTCAGAAATCAGATGTTGATAAGGGCTATTTCATATACAAGCTTTAGCTTGAGTTATTGTAGGCTTTTTAAATATATGTATTTTTATTGATTTTAGGGAGGAAGGGAGAGAGAGAGAGATAGAAACATCAATAATGAGAGAGAATCATGGATAGGATGCCTCCTGCACTGGGAAATCCCACTGGGGATTTAGCGCACAACCCAGGAATATGCCATGACTGGGAATCAAACCATGACCTCCTGGTTCATAGGTCATCGCTCAACCACTGAGCCACACCGGCCGGGTAAGTTATTGTAGTCTTGAGAAAGTTCCTGTTTTCACTTCCCTTTGGTGTATTTATTCTTTTTATTGTTAGGATTATTATTAGATTCTATTATGACCCTCATGTGCCTTTGAGTGAGAGGGTCTAAGGGTACAGTTATTTTTAAACGATCTGACAGGTCATAAACTAGACATTTGTATCTCCTATATGAGTTTCTAGAATGAACTCCAATCCTGTGGTGCTACATTGGCAGAAAACAAATTTGAGTGCAGATTTATCTATTCTGATTCTAGGGAGAAAATGAAGAGCAACTTGTAAATTCCATGGGAAAGGGTGGAAAGAGTAAACGGAACAATAATTGGCAGCTGCATTCATGAGGAACTTTCCAGGCTCCCAGTCTCCCTTGCTGGATTGGGGGAACTCTGCTGATGGAGGATTCTTCCTAATTCCAACATCTCAGAACTCTGCCCCTCAATTTATAGTGACTGAAAATCCTTCCTTGAGATTTGCCTGATATGGATATTCTAGCCTTTGGGTCCGCCACTGGGGCTGCTGTGCAGAAGCACCTTTGGGGTGACAAGATATTTTGAGATGTGGAGCAAGAATGTTTGATGTTTGAACCAGTTATCTAATGGCCTAGTGACCTCTTTATCAATTGAAACATAAAGCTTTATATTTAACCTAGATTTAACTACTCAACTACCTGGGTGTTAGGGAGCCAGTTTATTCTATTCTATTCTATTCTATTCTATTCTATTCTATTCTATTCTATTCTATTTTTCTCTCCCTTTCTCTATCTCACCCCTCCTTCTCAGGTCCCTCTTTGCTCTCAATTTGATAGCAAAAGAACACAATACAATGATGTAACTGGTTGGAAAAGATAGCTATTTTCAGATAAGCCAAACATTTTATCCAGGCTGAAATCTAACTGAAAACATTTATTATTACTATTGCCTAATCCCTCATGTGACAATGTAAAATGCTTTCTTGTGAAAAAATCTGGCCCTACTCTGATTTATAAATGTCTCCCTGAAGTGTTTTCTAAAATCATTATCAAAAGTGGTAAATAGCCCTGGCCGGTGTGGCTCAGATAATTGGCTCATCATCTCGTACACCGAAAGGTCTCG